GTTATAATACCAAGCATTCGGCCTTGTTTCCCCTTTGGCAACCTCTGAGTGAAAATTTCCCATGCAATGATGAAGTAGGACACACAAGGGACTTTCTGGAGAAATGGGAATTTCTTGACATTGAAACAAACTKTYCCTGGAATCTGAACTCGAGATGACRCAGCAGTGGGATAACATGAAACCACATGATCTCCCACTTTCACTTTTTTCACATCAGTGCCTGTTGCTGTGACTGTGCCACTGAAATCAAGAGCTAGAAGTCTGTGTTTGTCTCCTRCTTGTGAGTTCCAATACAGWGTATTACCAAAGTTGCAACTAGAAACACTAATAGCAAAATAATCTTCTGAGTGGAGACAAATTTTATCCACTTGAATTTCAACACTCTSTTTGTCAAGCTGACTAGCAGTGCTTGTAGATAATTCCCCAGACAAGTCTTTTGCTGTGTACGGATCAGAAGTGTACAAAGTGAATGTCTGTGATTTCTGGAGAGACCTCACRGGTTGGATGTGATCTGCATCTACAAAAGGTGTGCGTCTGATTTCRGACACATAAACTCTTCCCTGGCCGATGCAAACTTCTGGGTAGTCCCCACCTTTGTATTTGACAAGAACATCTGCTAACACTGAGATGTCCAGGGAACTGGAAGAGCCGAGGTCAATCAACTGAAATGTGATTTCTGGAACTTCAACGACGCAAGTTCTGGTCATGCCRTACAATGCAAACCCACAGTTAACGTGGTCCACATATCTCTCTGTTGTTCTGTAGGTGATCACTCTGACTGAGCAGCAGGATGTCTTCTCTCTYAATGCCACCACTACCTGGCGATAGGCTTCACAACACTTTGCCAGCTGWTCTACAGCTTTMCTTGGCAAATCTTCAYTTAACTTTTGAAYTCCCCACAGAAAGAGGATGTCATCATAGTCCTCAACCTCTGCTCTCATTTTGTTCTGTGCATCACCTTCCACGAGGGATTCCCAGTCTTCATGCATAACATACCTTGAAGCTGGATGYAARTACKTTTTGAGCTGCTCAGCTATTCCAAATTTGTCTGCAAAGACAAGGASTCTGRGCTTAAACCCCAGATGTCCAATTGTCTGTGAAAGAGAGACTTCTTTCCACTTGTTTTCAAACAGGAACTCATTGTCTCTGGAAGATCCTTCCTTTATGAAAGTGATGGCAACGCGCTTGAGCTCAGCCAGAACAGAGCCATGTTTGTCCACAAAGCATCCACAGACCTCGAGGCAGTTCCCAGTRGACTTGCTCAATCTCATGTATATCATCATTTCTTCCTCCAGTGGTCGGAGAACCACCAGGCTGCCTATCCCTGAAGGAAAGCCTGCTCTGGACTGGAATGTCCTTGARGTCAAGACAGCGGTCATCTGCAGAAAACAGTCGAGCAGCACRGGGTGGATGCAGTAGCTGTACAWGTCTCTGACGGTCTYCTCATTCACCTTTATTCTTGTTATAGCTTCTTTTAGCTCCTGGCAATAATGCACATCACTGAGCTGCCTGAATATGGAGCCATACTGAAAGCCAACCTGAGAGAGAGCATCATAAACCTCCTCTCTGCTAATCACTGACCTGCATCTTTGATAGATGGCTTGGAAGGAGATGCTGCTTTCTTCCACCACACCTTCGAGCCCCTCTGCCACTTGGCCAGCAGCATAAACTGCATTGGAGGAAGAGAGAACCTCAAAGGCTGTCATGGCTTTTTGTGGACTCAGTTTGATCCTCAGCACTTGRGAACTCTGTGTGAGGACACACGGTGCAGAAAAACAGATACTCAGCTGGCAAGTACTCAGAGGCACTTTAGGTCTTGAGCTGCTCATCACAGAGGCCAGACCAAGCTCCACATAAAAAGCCCCAGGGACTAAGGCCATTCCACTGTTCCTGTGCTCATATAAGTACGGTGTCGTGTCCTGAGACACCAGGCAGCCAAATTCCACATTGTCACTGTTTATGCCATAAATCAAAGGGTGACTGGCACTGACACCTCTTTGATTTGCTTGTTGATGGACATCCAGACAGGCCATGAGTTTTTGTCGATCAAATTGATATCGTGGAATGGCAACAGGAACACTTTGATACCCCTTATAAAAGTGCTGCCAGTTGGGATTATDTCCCAGTTCAAACAGATTTCCTGCCAGGGTCAGGAGTGTCTGATACTCTGCATCAGTTTGCAAAGAGGAGAACACCTTTGTGCCTTTTCCTAGAGTTTCCTTTATGCTTCGCTGCAATGCTCGATGAGGACTTATTTCCACAAACACCACATTTTCCCTGTCTCTGGCTGCAGTTTGGATTGCCCTCATGAAAGCAACCGGCTCACGAGCATGCCGTGCCCAGAATCTGCCCTGAGCAAAGTCATTTTCAGATGCAGCCATCCCAGTCAGTGTTGAAATCACTTCCATTTCCCCCTTCTGCTTTTCTAAGGGCTCTATCTGCTCCTCCAGCTCCCTGAGTATCATATCCATGCTGGGGCTGTGGTATGCAACTGGAACATTTAAAACATGAAGAAAGATGTTTCTCTGTTTGAAAGCTTCAGCTAACTCTTTCTGGAAAGCTTCCACAGCATCTACACTGCCAGACAAGGTGCAGGAAATGGGGCTGTTGAAAGCAGCAATGCACACCTTTCCCGAGTAGGGATGCAGAYGTTCAGCAATCTCTTCAACAGGGATGTTTCCAACCACCAACATTCTGCCGCCAGCAGCCTTTGCCTGCAGCCTGCTCCGGTGATAAATCACTTTGACTGCATCAGCCAGGGAAAGGTACCCAGCAATATGTGCAGCAGCCACTTCTCCCATCGAGGGGCCAACAGCAGCAATGGGTTTGATACCCCAGTGCTTCAGGAGGGAAGCTGTGGCAACCTGCAAGGCAAACAGCAAGGGCTGGGAAAGCTCTGGATTCAGCAAGTCCTTTGGGTTACGATTTCTTGCTGGCAGGAGGCTGATGGCAGCGTGCTGCTGAAAAAGCTCTTCTATTTCCTTACACTTGTCTCTGAACACTGGCTCTGAGCTCAGCAGTGCCTCACTCAACTCCTTCAGCATTACACCATTGCCACAGAACACAAACACCAGCTGTGGTTCCACTTTTGACATGGTAGGCTCAGTGCTCGATGCCAATTTCAGCTCTTGCTGCAAGTGCTGGAGGGAATTTGTGACAAAHGCTTTTCGGTACCTGTAGTTGGCATGGCTTCTTCTGCAGGCCGATGTATAGGCCAGGCTGGGGAGAGTTATGGTGTTTCTTGTGCTCAGCTGCTCAGCCGTATCAGCCATTGTCATCTGGAGGGACTTAYGGGATGCTGCTGACAGCACAACTAATTCCAGGGGCTTCTTAAAGGCAGGAAGAGGCTCTGGCTGCTTCACCTGCCTGACTACAACATGAGCATTGGTTCCTCCAAACCCAAAGCAGTTGATYCCAGCTACCCTTCCATACTCACTGGATTCTTCCCAGGGCTCTACAGCTGTGGCAACAGCAAGATTTAATTTGTCTGTATCAATGCTGCTCATCTCCTTTGAGTAATGCAAGGATGGAACAATCTTTCCATGATGCATCATCAAGAGCACTTTGATTAAGCYGGCTGCTCCAGCAGCCGATTCCGTGTGCCCAATATTTCCTTTCACTGAACCGATTTTCAGAATGGAAAYTTGGGAAGACCTCTTTTTGCTAACGACACTGCCCAGGCTTTCAGCTTCAGTAGGATCTCCAGCAGCAGTTCCTGTGCCATGGGCTTCAATGTACTGCACAACAGAGGGATCCACACGACTTTCATAAATGCTGCGCAGCAAGTTCTCTTGCTCGATTTGAGACGGTCTTATGATCGGAGTCATGGACTTCCCATTCTGATTTACTGCACTGATGTTTATCACACCCCAGATTTTGCTGTAGTCTTCCTTTGCCTGTTTCATAAAAAGTTGAATTATCTTTAATAATACTAGTAGTCTTTGGTTAAAGATGTTACCAGGAGCCTCCCAAGCCTGGTGTGTCCCACCGACTACTATTCATTACTGATCCTCCATGTAGGGGGTGAGGTAATAGCAACACATAATCTGAGAGCGATCAAGAAAGATTTCATGGCTTTGTGACATTTGCTAAGAAAATCTGAGGCACAATTCATCTTCTCCTCAATAGCCCCAGTTCAAAGCAGCAATATTAAACAAAAAAATGAATACAGCAATAGTTGTAAGCAGCAATAATGAAAAAAAAAGGAAAATAGAAATAGTTAAAAGCTTAAATATAGAAAGAAACRGACAGGCTGAGTCTGCTAAGACATGGCTCCACAGCTGGTGTCACCACCACGATTTTGGGGTTTTTGACAATGATACGGCCTATGTAGAGTCAGGCATGCTGGTATCAGATGGGATTCACCTCTCTGAGTGAGTCTTTGCATGGGAAGTAGCAAGACTCCTTGGAGAGCTTTAAACTATTTATAATGGAGAAGGACAGCAATATCAGGCTTGTCCCTAGCAAACTGGGGGATAGTATGAAAAAGTCAGAGGGATAGGATACTTCTGAATTCYCTCTGCAGGTGACTCTGAGATGTATCAGTCACCGAAGCCCAACAGCAGCCTTACAGAGACAAGCCAGGGACTCCTGAGATAACAGAAGACAACAGGGAAATATCAGAGAAACACCTTAGTAGCAAAAGAAGGCTTACCTCAGTCAAGCAGTCAAAGATGCAACCACTAGACATAGTTATGGGACATYCCTTCACACTCCCACTGAAATATTGTCACCAACTAATACTTTCATTAAGTGCTGTACACCAATGCACACAGTATGGGGAACAAACAGGAGGAACTAGAGATCTGTGTGCAGCCTCTGGACTTCAATCTCATTGCAATTACAGAAATGGTGGGATAGCTCCCGTGACTGGAATGCTGGCATGAAGGGCCACACGCTGTTTAGGAGAGACAGACCAGAAAGGTGCAGTGGAGGAGTTGCCCTCTTTGTGAGGCAATACTCAGAGTGTACCGAGCTCTGCCTTGGGGAGGATAACAGGGCAGACTAGTAAGGGTGGGACCACCACATCATTGTGGGTGTTTGCTAGAGACCAYCTGATCAGGAGGAGGAAGTGGATGAGGCCTCCTGCAGGCAGCTGGAAGCAGCCCCACAGTGCCAGGCCCTGGTTCTTGGTGGGGCTTTAACCACCCTGGCATCTTCTGGAGAAGCAAAGCAGCGAAAAACAAATGGTGCTGGAGGTTCCTGGAAAGCACTGATGAGATTTTCTGTCACAAGTAGCGGAGGATCCCACAAGGAATGCTGCRCTGCCCAAGCTTATACTAACAAACAGGGAAATCCTTGTTGGACATGTGCAGGTTGGGGCAGCCKTGGCTGCAGTGACTGAGATTGTAGTGTGTGCTCAGTACTGAAGAAGAAGTAGGACAGAGCACGATTACACCCAGGGACTATTGGAGAGCTAACTTTAGCCTCTTTAGGGATCTCCTCGGGAGAATCTCATGGAAGYAAGCCCTGCAAGGAAGWGGGGTCCAAGAGAGTTGCTCAACATTCAAGGCTCACTTCCTACAAGCTCAAAGACAGTGCATCCCAATGAGAAAATAGGAAACGGGACAACAAACCTCTGTGGATGAATAAAGAACTCTTGTCATTACACAAATTTAGGCCAGAAATATACAGGAGATGGAAGCAGGTCAGGCCACTTGGAGTGAATGTAGAGAGGCTGTCAGAGTAAACAGAAAGAAGACTAGAAAGGCCAAGGCCCATCCAGAATTAAATCTGGCCAAGAATGTTAAGGATAACGAAGAGGGCTTTTTCAAACACATCACAACAAAAGGAAAATTAAGGATAATATGGGTTCGTTAGCAAATGGAGGGGGGCACTCTGGTGACAGAGGATGCAGAGAAGGCASTTACTGAATGCCTTCTATGCATCTGTCTTCAYTGACAAGACCAGGCCTSAGTGATTTCTGACCCAGGAGACCAGGGTAAAAGAATGCTGAAAGGAAGACCTTCCCTTGCTCAAGTAGGATTGGGTCAGAGAACATCTAAACAATAAATAAATAAACTTGACATCCACAAGTCCAGGAGCCCTGACAGGATGCATCCATGAGGTCTGAGAGAGCAGGGGGACAACAATCATCTTTGAAAGACTGTGGTGTTCATGAGACATGCCCAAGGATTGGAAGAAAGCAAATGTCAACCCAGTGTTCAAAAAAGGCAAGAAGGAGGACCAAGGAGCTACCAATCAGTCAGCCTCCCCTCAATCCCTGGAAAAGTGATGGAGCACCTCACTCCAGAGGCCATCTCTATCTACAAGGAAGATAAGAAGATGATCAGGAGTGGTCAACATAGATTCACTAAAAGTAAATCATGTTTGCCCAACCTGATTGACTTCTGTGATGAAACAACTGCCTGGATGAATGAGGGGAGAGCAGTGGATATTGTCTACCTCAACTTTAGCAAGGCTTTTGTCACTGTCTCTCACAGCATCATCATAGAAAAAGTCAGGAAGTGTGGACTGGATGAGTGGACAGAGAGCTGGATTGAGAACTGGCTGAATGGCGGATCTCAGAGGGTCATAATCAGTGGCACAGGGTATAACTGGGGGCCTGTCACTAGTGATAGCCCCTGGGCGCAGTATCCTTTAGTTTATTCATCAATGGCCTGGATGAAGGGGCAGAGGCCTCCTCAGCATGTTCCCTCTCCACACCAGGCTGGGAGCAGTGGCCGATAGCCCAGAGGGCTCTGCAGCCCTTCAGAGGAACCTTGGCCAGCTGGAGAGATGGGCAGAGAGGAACTGCCTGAAATTCAACAAAGGCAGGTGCAGGGTCCGGCACCAGGGGAGGAATAACACCCTGCACCAGCACAGGCTGGGGGCCAACATGCTGGAAAGCAACTCCGCAGAGAAGGACCTAGCAGTCCTGAAGGACAACAAGCTCTCCACAAGCCAGCAGTGTGCTCAGGGGTCCAGGAAGCCCAATGGGATCCTGGGCTGCAGTAGGAAAAGCATTATCATGGGATTGAGCAAGGTGATCCTGACCCTCTGCCCAGCCTGGTCAGACACATCTGGAGTGCTGTGTCCAGTTCTGGGCTCCTCAGTACAAAAGATGCATGGGGCTCCTGAAGTGGGTCCAGAGGAGAGCTATAAAGATGATGAAGGGGCTGGAGCATCTCTCTTATGAGGAAAGGCCAAGGGAGCTGGGCCTGTAGAGCCTTGTGTGTTGCTTTTGCTTGGCCAAGTTTTTGGAAGTGGGGGGGCCAAAAAGATGGTGCCTGTGAGAAACTTCTGGAGGCTTCCACCATGTCCAGCAGAGCTAATTGCTGTTGGCTCTGAGGATGATGGACATGCCACTGACCAAACCTGGGCCAATT